ATATATATATATACCCGTTAAGCATCTTGGAGGCTTTAAAACGTCTACTTTTCTGTCCAGAACCACGTTCTTCATGTTTCCTATTTTACTCAGAACTCAGTGAGCTCATGTTTTAATGGAAGAAGCTTTTATTTATTTGTTTATTTTAAAGAACGCTGCCAACTTTCCCTGCTAACAGATGCTGCCTTCCTGTTCTGACCTCCTGCTGAGCCTGAGCCGAAAAAAGGAAACACTTATATTATCAGAGCAGTTTCCTCCGAAAGCTGAACAAGTTCATCTGGAGCCCATTAGGACTAATTATTAAGAGTGTTGGGAGGCTAATTATACCTTCCTCTCGGGGCTCTCTAACAGCTGCCACTGGTTGCTCTTGATCTGCTGCAGCTCATCAAACTTGGCAGTGACGTCGTCGATGGTAAGCTGCAAAAGGTCCCAGAATCCAGCCAGGTCCTGAGATGTGGGTCTGGGCATGGCGCTGGGGTCCTGGAAGAGACAACAGTTTTATGAGCTGTTAACGCAGGAAAAACTTCACCTGCACCACTGCTGTAACAGGTTACAAACAACTAAGAGCACGTCTGAAAATTTTTACTTTGAATCTCCTTGAATTTTTAATCTCTTGAGTCATTTCTACATATAACCACTGGGTGGCAGTAAGCACCAACATTAGGTCAAAATGTCAGGTCACAACATGTTTCTGGCAGAAAAAGTACAATTTAAAATTTGAATTGAATTTTTTTCCTTTGATTTACAAAATGTTTTTTTGTCATCTGAATCATATCATTGACTTGTTGCGTATTGTAGCATTTTAAAATGTAACTAATTAATAAAATGAGAACCATGTGAAATGCAATAACAAATGTACACATGGCTGCTACAGATTATCCACATTAGCCAACAAAAATATAGTTATATAGTAGTTAAGAATTGTTCTCAACATATATTCCTGCAATAATCACACAGCATCATGTATGACATCATTTTAAAACGTACCAAAATATCTCTAATAGCATGAAACTATCTTTAGTTGTGAAATTTTAAAAGCCAAACCTACAGAGCCTGTTTTTACCAGAGGTGTATAAGGTACTTGAAAAAAATTACTAAGGAAAAGTAAAAATACCTTAACAGAAAATGGTAAAGATTTATTTCACTGATAAGAAAAGTACTTGAGTAAAATCATAAAACTGCTCACAATAACCGTAAAAGTAGATGCACTTTTACGCACACTCTAAAAAAACAAAGTGTTGAATTTTCTAAGTTATATCAACTGGTTCAACTAAGTGGAGTTGAGTAAATAAAAACAAATTTACACATTTTCTTTGAAAGAAAATAAAAACCCTTCAGTTGGGGTCTAAATAAAGTGGATTGTAACGCTTTGGTCGGAATCCCTCCCAATTGTAACTCCACAAGCCCCGCCCCTTTTCTGAGGTGTGTCTCATTTTAACTCGTTTAGAGGCTGCTTCTTTAAATCCAAACGAGGAGCTTCACCCTGCTCCCTCCAGCTTCCAAAGTCGTCCATTCTAGTTTGATGGAGGGGTTTGCAGTTATATAGCTGCGCAGAAACTTTTTAAAAGATGCGAACAAAGGGAGACTTGTCCATCCAACCTTACATGTTGGAGCCACAGTCTGACCCAGAACCAGAGTCTGACCCAGAACCAGAGTCTGACCCAGAACCAGAGTCTGACTAGAACCAGAGTCTGACCAGGACCAGAGTCTGACCCAGAACCAGAGTCTGACCCAGAACCAGAGTCTGACCCAGAACCAGAGGAGAATGAAAAAGACAAAAATGTCCAATTTGCTCAACTCGGTTTAGTGGAACTAGTTGGCATAATTTGGTTAAATAAATTCAACACTTCATTTTTAGAGTGCACAAATAACTGCTTTCATGATGAGTTCTGGTCATTTTTAAATTTGTGGTGTGTAACTAGCAAAATTATCATTTTTCATGTTTTGAGTGTAACAAAATAAAAGTTAAAAAATTTAAGTACTGTAAGAAAGTAAATGTACTGGTTTTTACTGCATCACATTCATTCCTGTTTATAGTATCAACTAAAACAGCGGATGAATTGGAAGAAAGACCACTCAGAGGAAGTGTAGTTCCCCCTCCAGCCAGCAGGGGAAGTCAGCTCCATCCCTTTCAGAGAAATCTGAGAGCTCGGGGCAATCTAAGGCTTGTCAGTACCAATGTTCAACTTAATTCATCATCCTATTATCTGCAGGGAGAGAAGCAGAGAACGCACCCGAGATCATTCAGAAGAAAGCGACACACTGGAGATAAACACAAACACAAAACAACAACACGAGTCAGTCGGAGAGCAGACTTCATCCACCTCCACAGCATGCTGCATTTCATTTGGTATTTTTGCTTTTAATTAGCCTCACAACAGAGGGCTGGGATGAAGTTTCTCAGCCTCTCTTTCTTTTTCTCAGTTAAACCTCACTTTCTCGTTGAAGCATCCCACTTCCAACACCACCGTACAGTAAAAATATGCTGACTGTGGGAATACTTAGCTTTAGAAAAGGAGGAATGAGTTTCCTGCAGACGTGACATGAGGGCTAAACAGCGAGATGGCGTGGCAGTCCATTATTCAAACTCTGAGCTTCCCATTCAACCTGCTGCCTCCGAGCATTAATGGATTGCCTCGACGCAGGTGCTGCTTCCTATTGGAATTCCCCTTCCGTCAACAGTGGGGTCAATACCAGCAGAGAGACCGCTCCACCATCGATCTCTGGGGGTTATTTTTGGAAGTGCAGTGTCAGGACAAGTTCTCAACGCTCCAAGAGAGGGAAGACCGTCTACACGTTTACGGAGCTGTGATTTCCTGCAGAGCTCAATGAAGGGATAGTCTGGTCATTTTTGCCACGTTTCCATCAACGTTTTGAAGTATCGCGTTAGAAAAGCTTGATGGAAATGGAAGAATTTGAAAAACACATTTGAATTTTTATGCTCCTTTTTGGATTTTCCATAAAAGATTGCCCAAAAGGGGTCTTACGTAGCGAACATTTACCTCATGTCTGATCAGCCTTGCCTGATAGCAAAGCTTCTCTCCGTTGTCCCGACATGTGTGGTCCCTGCTAGTTACCTCTACTTCCTGTTTATTCCAGCCGTGCTTGACGTCATGCTTTAACTGGTTAATTCACTCCAAACCAGTTGATTGAAACACGTCTAGATCGCCCTTTTTTTCATCATTTTAAATAATTAGCTCAAAATTAGCATTACAATTGGATGCATGGCTAATTAGTACTTGTGGAGCACAGAGTTTTGTTGGTCTGGCACCGTTTGACAGACGCTCATTACTCACCAGGTTCTGTTGGCACAGCCAGTAGAACTGCTGGAACTTTTGCGACATTAAAAGCTGAGCACTTCCGACTGCACTCCGGATCTTTCCTAGAACTGAAGCACACGCACAAATCCTGGTTTTATCACCGACAGATTAGTAAAAGTCCACACACTGAACATGTTATCTCTCAGTCGTTCAGAATAATTCAATTTGCTGATTCAATATTTGTCCTGATTTAGGATCTTAACAGTCAACAGTTATCATTATGCAAGTTTCCAGTTAAAAAAAAAGGAAGAAGAAAAAGAAAGCGAGACCATCGCTGACATCAGGATACTCACTGTCCTCCGACAGGTCGTGCTCCTCCGCCTCTCCTTCCATCTCTTTGCACCATCCCTCCAGCCGCTTCGTTTCGTTGTGAAGGAGCTGCATGAACCAGCTGCCGTCCCTGCGGACGGGGGACACTCGGCCAGCGTCGGTGCTCTCCAGGCTGGGTTCCACCAGCCAGGATTCAGGCTGCGGGCTGGGAGGCCCACTGGAAGGCCGGTAGTCCTCCCTGTAGCTGAACAGGCCCTGCGTGCGTACCGTCCGGATGGCTCCGTACTGCGTCGGCGTGCTGGGCTCTGAGTGGCGGCCGAAGGCACCGCCGAACTGCAAACTTTTGTCCTCCATGGAGGGGAAGCCCTCCAGCTCCATGTCTGCTTGCACTGCGGTGGTCACACTGTTGGAGCGCTTGAACCTCCCATGCCTAATAGACAAAAATAAAAAGAATTAAAATATACCAACTTGATGTTAAAAAGTACATCTTTAGGAATATTTCCCTCTGCGTCATGTACCGTTTTTTATCCTCCACTTGGATTCCGATGGAATGAAATTGAGGAAGGCCTTTAGTTTCAGCCTCAGAGTCTGTCACAGTTTCCACCTGGAACAGTGATAAGAAACAAACTATTTTCCCTCTCAACCTAAAAGCACACATGACCTTCACTCAAAGACCGTTACCTGGATGCCGATAGAGGAACGAGGGGTTTTGAGGTACTCCTCAGCCTTGGACACCAGCACTGCCTTGTCACATGTCTGGACCGAGGTGTGGCTTCCTAAAGACGCGTGCCTCTTGCCTGCAGCCGACTCCATGGCCATGGTGACCGCCTTGGTGCTGTCCAGACTGTCCATGGAGCTGTAGATGGGCCGTCCGAGGCTATCCGTGGTCCACAGGCCCCCCCGCAGATGCCTGCCCTCGTGGTAGGCGTCCTGGGTGGACTCTGTGCTGCTCTGGGCTGTCACAGAGATAAGAGGCTTGGTGGTGGCTCTCGGGGGCACAGGAGGTGGGGTCTTCTTGTAACTGGGAGGGTATGATACCGCTGGATAGCAGAAGCAGGATGAGAGGAAGTGGACGAGGCAAAACAAGGGCAGAGGATAAAAAAAAGAAGAAAAGCTGATGAATAATGTGGCAGAAGCTGAGAAAGGCAAATGTTGCTTTTCACCAACATCACACAGAGGTGATGGAGGAGCCTGGGTGCAGGATGAGACCGAGCTTCAGGGCAGGTAAAGCAAGCTGAATGTCAGTAAGGTGGAACAGAACAGCGGCCATTTTTTTTGATCAAGTGCAGCGAAAAATTATGGAAAAGATTCTATTTCCAATGTGAATGAAAAATTGATGATAATTCGTTTAGATAGACCTGCAGCAGAACTGGTAACATTCCAAAAGACCACTTCATGGTGCGAATACTAGCGGACAGGGGCGGAGCTAGAGTGGTACCTGATTGGTCACCCCTAAAAAATTAGCAAGTTGCAGGGGATCTTGAATTTTTTTATTTAGATTTTGTTAAAGCTTGTCCTCCGCTACTGTTGTACAATATAAATATTTTAGCTTTGTATGTTTAAAAATGGCTGAATTATAGCCTTCTGTAAAATTAGCATTAGCACCGGTGGTTAACTTGCATTGGGTTTAGCATTGGCTACCAGTATGAGATTATTCTTAGCTACTACACAACAAATTTCAGCTTAATAAGTCTTAAAACAGCAGAATGAGAGTTAGCTGTGGGGGCCATCTTGAATTTTTGTTTTGCATTTAGAACTTGGTAAGGATTGTTTTCAGCTACTTCTACTTTAGTCATTTATATGTCTAAAAATGGCTGAATAATAAGTTGTGACTAACATTCTGTATGATCTTTGCATCATTCTTAGCTATGATCACACAAAATTTCCACTCAGTATTCCTTAAAACAGCTAAATTAAAACCATTTTGAATTGTCTGTGGTGGCCATCTTGGATTTTCAAATCCATAGTGCTTTTCTTTATGTGCCCCCCTAAAATACCTCGGCCACCCCTGTGCCCCCCTTTGAAATAAACCCTAGCTCCGCCCCTGATATAGAGTCTAGCTCAACCAGTAAAACTCTGAGGCTGCCATGAAAACGTCATTGAAATGATAAAATTCAACATGCTCAAAAAGCAGATTTGGATCTTGTGAAAAATCTCATTTTAATCCTAATTTAAAGTTTAACACAAATCAGTTCAGAGTAAATACTCTGGGTCTGTATAATGGTGTAAATTTACTGGTTGAATTTGTACAATTTCAATGATGTTTTTCTGATAAACGTGTGCTTGGCTCGCTTTGCGCATTTGTAACAATTTTCAACTACAAAATGCTTTAATTTGCAGCTGCACTGGGTTATAAAAATCCGGTTAGTTTGCATCTAAGACGTGTGACCAATCCATCAAATTTGTTTTTGCTTTATTCCATCGATTATGTCGCTCCAGAACCGAACTCACTGAAATGTTACCAGAACTCTTCAGCTGAGGCTCCGACTCGTTTCAAACCAGAAAAGCACAGGTGCAATAATCCGATTAATGATGGCTCTGTTCCTCACTGTCCCAGGAAATAACACACCTGGTCCAGGTGGACTCAGACCATCATTAATTTACCTCTGCATTTCCTGCCGTGGCTTCTTAAATGTCTGCGGTGAAATGGGACGACTGTGGGAGTAAATATGAATAAAACAATAGAAGCCTGGACACTGAAAATCTGAATGTTATGTCTAATGCTTAAATCCCAGGATCTTCATTTATCAATTTGCTTCTCGTGACCATAAAAACCTGAAAATTTTTTATTTAAGGTGCATTTTTGGGAACTCAATAACAAAAAACACGAGGAAGACTGAAACAGGTCCGTGCTTTCCTTTCCACTTGTAACATCTCATTCTTCAACACATTCGGTAATTTACCCATGTTCATTATCTAAAATTCATCATCTACTAAAGGAATATTGATGGTCTGTCTGTTCAAATGCTTCCACAGATAACAAGAAACACAGGGTCCACAAACAGATTCACACTTCAGAAAACAGTGAGGTAATAAAGTAGGAGGAAACAGAAAATAAATCCCAGACTTGACTTCCTCCCAGCACGAAGTGCTGGAGTTCTGTGAGACACAGCAGGTGGCCACCGGAATCTAAAGAGCACAATGACTCACATAGTCCAACTCCTCGCTTTCTATTATTACACACTCAACCTGCTTGACATAGTTTCTAAAATAAAAAAATGTTACAAACTGTGCCAACAGCACAAAGCAGAATACAACAAATACCTAAAAAACCTGGATATGTTGTGTTTTTACCAGTACATCTGAATATTTTAAATGATAAAAATCGGACTTGTATTATCAGACGAGTACAGAGGAGAGGATCCAAAAGTAGAACTACTTTGACATATTTTTACTCAAGTAAAGGTAAAAAGCTGTCCAAGAAATTACTCAAGAGTAAAAATGTATTTTTTGAAAAGGCTGCTTGAGCTCTGAGTAACTGATCTGATTTAATATTTTTGAAATGATGTCATCAGACTGACTAAAAATAAAAAGTTATGTGCAAACTCTGGTGTTTTTAAAGACATAAACAAAGAAAAAAATGACAAAATGACAAATTCCAGCAGAAGAAACACTTTTCCAAGTCTAATTTTTCTCATTATGAAACTTAGGAAACTAATTCTTATAGTAGGTAATATATACACCTCAAGGTGCGTATCTTTGGTGCATTTCTGCTTAAAGCATGTTTGTTCTTACTGATGGTAAAATATGCAGACATTTTACTCAAGTAAGAAGAACCATACTTCATAATAATTATGCTCAAGTAAAGTAAAAAAGTATGATGTAGTAAAACGTACCTATTTTTTCCAAAAGGTTAATCAAATAGTTATTATTAAGTGCTGCACAAGTAGGAAAAAAAGGCCATTATTCATAAAAATAAACCTGAACAAAACAAGATGCTTGAAGAACAAAAAGCAACATCTAATATTAAGAACAGGATGTTCAATTTATGTAGCAGCCATGATAAGAATTAGTATCTGTGTAATGCTAACTAAATTAGCATCCCTGCTTCCTCTATGACATCAGCCCCTCCTTATATAAAAAACAATTTTCTTCTATTATTATTTGTGTTTTAAACTCACCTGCACTTGTACAGGTTTAATGATTCACACAATAGGCTGCCTTCAGGTTCAGACCACCTAGTTAGATACAGTAAAGTAAAATAAAATAAAATAAAAGCAAGTGCATTATTTAAGTCCTTTAGAGTACATGCTTTGATTCACGATTCTACTTTCTGTATACTTTCAAAAAGATTTTAAAAATGGCTCCTTTCCTGAAAAATCCCAAATACTTCTTTTTATGTACATTTAACAAGACGTAGTCGTTTAAAAATAGTTGAGCTCTGGATGGTAACATAGCTGAAGCCACATCCAATGAATATTCAGAGCAAAGAGCTGCAGATTCAGGGAATCATGTTGCTTAAAAAAACAATTAATTAGGTGTAAAAGGAAAGGTCATAAACGGGTATCTGTCTGTGTAAAATCTGGTTAACGGACCACCAAACAGTCCTGTAACTTTTCCTGCTGCAGTAATGAACGTGACTGTACTCCCACAGCAGGGTCAAAACAAATGCATTATTAGCTGAGTCAGCACCGTTCAGCTGCTCATTAACTTCCTGCTCGTCTAAATGGATTGACATTTGGAGACGGTTTGTTGTTTATGCTCTGGACATCATTATGAAGTCATTTCATTTAGTTAATGTTGTTCAGGTGAATTGGAACGTTTGCTACATCAGGGAACTTAAATCGTCCCTCTCAGGATGAGGTAAAGGGGAGTAAAGTCAAATAAAAAGCACTGAAGTTGCACTGAATGGCCACTAGATGTCCTCCTGAAAACTCCAAGTCTTTGCTCAATCAGAGGAGACAAGGACAAGGTTCAGAGTTTTACATGTGCAGTAAAACCTGAGTATTCCCTTTGAAATATAAATCATTTTTTATAACCTAGCACCAACATTTTCCTGCACGTTAGTTTACATTACAATGAGATGATTTTATGACCAATGTTAGTTTGAGTGCAGGGATCAATTTTTCTGTGAGCAGGAAAAAAAGCACGGCGGTGGGATCAGACGAGCGCTGGAGCTGCAGCAGATCCACTGAGACTAATCCCAACCAAAAGTGGCGAGTCATTGTGTGCCGGGTGACTGGACTGAATATTAAACAGCTCTCCAGATGTTGCATCATTTCCTACAGAAGCATCTGGCACAGAACGAACGTCTGAGCTCGAGAAGGACGGTGTCTAACGAGTGCCGTGAAACAGAGTCTGCTGGGTTTTTTTTCCTAAAGAAAAACACAAAATCTGATGTCATTTTAAAGAATGAGGCCTCGGTGAGCACCGGAGCTGTACGGTCACATGATCTGTGACATCTCGAGGAAGATTTCCACCTTTTCTGACCTCAAACAGCACCTGCCTTTTTCCACCTCAGCAGAAAGCCTGAACATCATAAATCACAGGGAGAAGCAGCAAGAGCAGAACTGTCTGAAATGGAAGCGTTTTAGATGTTTCTGGATAATATTAGAGACGAGGGAAGTTTATTGTCCTTTGTTTAGTCGAACGCTTCGGCCCGTGTTTGAGTTGGATTGTTTGGTTGAGCTCTGTTGCACTGAGATGTTCAGTAAATAAATCCACGCACGGCGGGAGCAGCCGCAACTAAATGAACCAAAATATTAGGAGATTAAATCGAGTTGCTGTTCTGCCGTGTTAAAAAACAACCAAAGCTGAAAACTTCCTTTAAAACAAGAAGTTTGGCACTTCCAGATCACAGTGTGCATGAACCTTTCTGCTACATGACATGGTTGTTTGGAAATGTTTAAAAATCATCCAAAACCTGATTCTGGAGACGTGTTTGATTCTTGTGTGAATGCTCATCAAGCACAACCCTAATTATTTTCAGCACGTTTCTCGTTTTGTAGTTCTTGTTTCAACAATTTATAAATCAAAATGTTCAGCTCCTTCAGGACATTCAGACTGTTGGCACTTCAGGAATTTATTACTATTGTGATTCGTTTCCCATCCAAGTAATCTCAACTTTGGCATGCTTCTCCTGCATACTTTGTCCTAAAGCTGCCATTGTAATTTATATCTGTAAAGCCCCTGTGCCAAATGATGGCTATGCCTTTTGGTGCCTGTAAAACTTATAGTTTATGAAATATTAATGTTTAATGAATTATAATGGCAGTCAATGGAGCCTTGTATTGGTCCAATACTGCCCCATGCTCTACTCAACTTGGTACTGCACCATAGTTTAATATTTCAACTCAGTGTTTACAGTACTAATATGATTGTATTTTGATGTTTTAATATAATATTGTCTTAATGCTGCTCTGTTGTTGTAATATTATACATTTTTGTGTCAATAATTGTATTGGCAATGTGGCCTCTTTCWGCACACATACAAACCAACCCCTGCCACCATCTTCTGCCACAGCTCCATTGGTCTAATGGTCTATGTCATGGACTTTCATGTGGGAGATCAGGGTTCAAATCCAGCTACTGCAACTTTAACAAAACGTCTCTTCAAATTTCATATTGTCACACAATTACCTTAATTACAAACACCTGCTGACGTGACAGGCACAAGCTGGTATAGAAAACACATTTGAACTTGGTCAAAGTTCATTCTGCAAGTCCACTGCTGCTGCAATGACATGCTACATGGCAATGCACACTTGTTTTTACATCGTAAAAATCCATGTCTGGTTCCTTTTGAGATATTTCACTTTTTCGGACATTTTTCTCATTAAAAATGAACGGAGCTGTTTCATCATCCTTAAAACCCTTAAAATGTTCATTTATCTTTACTTTTAACCTTTTGTTCTGGTTCTGCTTCTGTAAATAATTTCAGCTTCCTTCAGTTTCTGTTTTTGCTGATTTTAGCTTTTGGTTTTCAACTTTTTAAGCTGAACTTTTCTGGTGTTCTTCTCCTACTTTCAATATTTATTGTTCCTTTCACTTTCTTTCTGCCCCTTTCAGTTTTTATTCTACTTCTTTTTCTTTTCATCTGTGTATATCTGCCTTTTTTTAGCTTTTCTCTGCCACTTGAGTTCTTCAGCAATCATTCAGACAATTGTTGTCTACCTCAACAGTTCAAATTTAAAATAAGTTAAAAGCAGCTTTCAGTTAAATTAGTTAGCATTAAGTATTCACATGCATTTTCCCAGGAAATGAATTTTTATTTGTTTATTCATGCTTTCCAGATCTTCAAGTTCCTCTTTTTTAAAACCAAGTGTCACTTTCCTATCAGGGCTGTGAACAGCAACAAAATCAATTCTGAGTATCTTTAATAATCTAACCTTGACATTAAATGATGCGTTGACTGAACTCAGTGAGCAATGAGAGCTGGCTCCAGTAACACAAACAGCTCCCAGATGAGATGCAGTTTATTCACAAACTGTCGCAGCAGGAATTTCTTCCTGTAAAACTGGTTATCGTCCCAATAAGTCCATCCAGATGTTTTAAGTGTTGAGGCGAGCCATAAAAACAAGCAGAGACGGACAAATCAACACCCTTTACTTCCAAACTGAAAGATGTTTTGGTGTGCTGCCATCAGTGCTGTATAAAGTACCTCAAAGTGATACTTGAGTAAAGGTACAAGTATCTTATCATAAAAATACTTTGGTAAAAGTTAGTCTTCTCTAAATATATTACTTGAGTAAAAGTCCTAACGTATCTGATATTTTTTGTACTTAAGTATCAAAAGTAAATTTCTGACACAAAATCTACTTAAGTATTAAAAGTAAAAGTACTGAGTAAAAGTGAGCAGTTAGATTTTATAAAATGACATTTATTGGGAGGTGACTTCTCCAAAAAATATATTTTCTAACAGCGTGCAGCTGTGATGGGTTGTGTACAAGCTAATAGTGTGTCAGAATGGTATATATTTATACTTCTCATCCAAACACAATTAAATTCACTCTATAGGAGACACAGTTTATCAGGATAGGATTTATTTTTAAGTAATAACAACTCAGAATAAAATAGGAGTAACGACTTTTTACTTCTTACCTTTTTAAAAAATGTAGTGAGTAGAAAGTACAGATAATTGTGTAAAAATGTAACGAGTAAAAGTAAAAAGTAGGCTGAAAAATAATTACTCAAGTACAGTTACCCAAAAATTCTACTTAAGTAGAGTAACAAAGTATTTGTACTTAGTTACTTTACAACTCCAAAATGTCTCACTCATTTCCATGAAGAGGAAAAGTGTAAAAACTGAAGTGCAGCCAGTGTTTAAAGGGCTGCTCAACCTGTGTGCTTTAAATGAATAATTATTTTTGTCTTTAGTTAAAAGAGATCTTAATGATATAAAGACTTTAATGAAAAACTGGAGCTGGAAATGAAAGACCAAATACAGGACTGAATCAGGGTTGGGGTTTCTCTTTGTTTTTTTGTATTTTGAATTAATTCTTATTAGTATTTAAAGATTTTATTATTTAATTTAGGTGTTTTTCTATTAGTTTTGCCTCCTCGATTGTCCTTGTTTTTAGTTCCACACTCACCTGTTCTACATTTGTAATCAGCACACCTGTCTTCACTCAGTAATCACAATCTAAAATAAAAATACTTACCTTTTAAGTATATGTGTTTATGTATATGTGTATATGTGCATTGGTACATTACTATATATCACACGTGTATATTGTGGGGTTTTCAATCAATCAATCAATCAAACTTTATTTATAAAGCGCTATAATATCAGCCACTGCTGAAACAAAGTGCTGAACACATAAAAATAAAAACTGAAATTGTTTGTTGTCTTTTATTAATCTTTCATTATTCTTCTCAGCCTCTCTTGTATTAAGCTGCAGTAATGTGCAAATTTCCAGACTGTGGGATCAATAAAGTTTTATCTTATCTTATTTTATCTTAAAAACAGTTTTTAGTCGGTAGATAACTGGGTTGTTGCTATGAAACTACAAACATGGCCGAACGGGCTGGAGTCGAACGCCCAGCGACCTGGAGGGGGCGGGGTGTGAAATATCTCATTTGCATTTAAAGAGACCGCACCAAAACAGCTTGATCTGAGGCGCAACTCAGAACAGGGGTAAAGCAAGGAGTCTGTGGAGCAACAAAAACGAGGAATTAAGACCAAAGCGTTGCAGTTTTATTTTAAATAGACCATAAGTGAATGATTTAGACATAAAAAAGAAGGATTTAAAAGCATGATATGATACCTTTAAAGTTTGTAATTTTTACCTTGAACTGACCTGCATACAGCCAAGCTGGCACCAGTGTGTTTGGTTTTACCTCAAGGTTTACGAAAGAATATTTGTGCGTGCACGTTAGATCAACACAAGTACAATTTTAGACAGAAAAGAAGGTGTAGCAGCTGCTACCTGGAGGAGGCTGAGCGCGGTCCACACTGCATGAAGTCGGGAGACGAAACTGAATCCCTGCAAGAAGCAAGCAGCTTCAGTTAAACAGAACAAGACGTGAGTTAAACAAGAAAAATCAAAACATGCACAGGAAATCATTTTTATGCACACTCCACATACAGCGAAAAAATTAGATTTATCTTTAATTCATTAATTAGGAGAGAAAGAAACTCAGACATGTTTTATGTGTTTTAGTTTAAATAGTCAGGAAAGTATTTTTTAATCTGATTTAAAAACTTTAGAAGATTTGAAGGCACTGAAAGGAAACTAAAGGAAAACGTGGTGAACTGAGCAGAAAATTCTGTGTTTCTTTCTCTGAATTCAGGCGTTCTGATAAAGAAACATGAGATCATAAAGGCAACGCTTGTAGGCAACATTCCTGTCGAGGTTTTTCTGAAAACTTGATGCATTTTTTTGGTAAGTAGCATTTAAATATTGGCCAACACTTTGCTTATTTTGGCTTTGATTTGGGCATCAGTGCAGTAAAAGTAAAAAAAAAAAGTCAAGTTGCAGATGACAAATCAAAAACTCTCAAACATTTTAAAAAAAGTTAATTCCTCTGGTCTAAGCAGGTTCTCCAAACCAATTCATTGTTGGGAATGTTAACATCTGCATTGCCTTTATATGTTAAAGATTACTGATCATTTAAAAATCAGTGCAAACTTTGAGTCAATAAACATTTAAATGAGACAAGACGCATCATCTAAATATACAATCTCCTCTTTATATATCACAAGCTGAAACGATGAAATTTAACAATGAAAAAATCTCTGTACTTCTTGATCCAGTGTTTTCAGCAAAGTGCAGAAACTTTTTTTTTCTTATTACATCGTGGCTTCTGAGATAAATAGTACTAATAATGAGTTTTCTTATGAAAGTGCTTCATAGCTGCGAGCAAAATGTCAAAACTGTATAATCCTGCAGATGAAAGCTGAAGTCAGAGTCATGTGGCATTTTGATCGAATTAATAAATGAGGTTTAGACAGCGAGACGAGGTCAGACATAATGTGGTGAAAGACAAAGAAGACACTTGTAAAGTGGAAAGTAAGACCGTCTGTCTGTTCCCTCAGTTTACTTTCAAACCTGTTTTCTGCTAAAGGTTTGAAAGCTGCACTAAAGCTTTTAGAAGTTTCATATTCTCATTTTCCAAATCGTACAGTGAGGAGGAACGACTGCTGCTTGGTTTTTAGAATAAATCACAGCGTTTCTATCAAGTTGTACTTTACATGAAGACTGAAAACACAGCTGCACATAAACAGGAAGTCACTGATGTTATATTTTTAACAAATGCAGATTCCAAATCCTTATATAAACATGATTAAAAACCTACAAACACGTAGACTTCATGTAAAGCCCAACTTGGTGTCATTCAACAAACATTTTGAGATAGAATATGGGACAGACCTTTACTTTCCTGCGGTTTCAGCGAGACTTTCTCAAACCTGCTCCTTTTGCTTTCGAGACTTTCAGATTTGTCAGAAAAGGCAACGAGGATTAACGCTCTGACTGTGTCTCCGCTTCGTCCAACAGTCCCTCCGTTTGGGGCGGGGGGGGGCCGCTCTTGCTGACTCAGACCGGCAAAGAGGCTGGTGGGATGCTGCCCCGGGCTACGCGTGTCAGGGTGGGGTTCATGAAGGCAGCGATGGATGAGCTTCAAACGTGAACATGGGGGCTGGAAATGGAACAACGTGGATGTGGGATGAGCGGGAAAATGACCAAAGTACTGGAGACGAAAAGACAGAAGACCTCGCAAAACTTAAATTAAGTCATGTTGTGGTTTTCCGGAGCATTTTGGAATGTGATGAAACTGAAGCTAGATTGTATTAGTCTGACTGAAGACAATTAAATTAAATTAATATCTTGTCTTTTTAGCAAATATTAGTTTTACCCACTTTCCAAATCTCTTTTATGAAAAATTAAAACAATCTCACGTGTAATAGCAGTTAGTTGCCAGAAAAAAAAAGGTTTACGAGTTTTTACCTCTTTAGTTTTACTTTATCAACATAAAATAAATCTATTATTTTTTCAAGTTTATCTTTACAGAAACAGATTTCTTACATAGGTTGCGGAAATCTAAGCAGATATTTATCACTGAGCCAACGCAGCACTAAAAATGAATTTAAACTAGTTAGACATGCAGTTTTATCAAACAAATTAAATAAATTATTCAGTTTTTTAAAATACATTTGATACCACTTCAAAACAGCATTTTTTATTTTAACATTTAAAATGTAATTTCCTGAATTTTACGCTTCTTTTAATGCTGCCCTGCATCCCAGATTATGTCTAAAAATGTTGAATCATTGCTGTTTAAACAAACAAGTCTTTTCTAATCTTTTAGACAACCTTATCTGGGACTGTGTGATGCTCTTTTTAGATCCATCATCTTAGTCTGAGTCGCAGAAACAAAAATATTGTTCACTAAGTTAAAGACATTTTTTAGAGACACCAACAAGACAGACATTTTACACATAAGAACATTTTTTTGAAGGGAATACATTCCTTTGTTTCCTCTGTCTAATGTAACCTATGGATGGATGGATGGATGGATGGATGGATGGATGGATGGATGGATGGATGGATGGATGGAACAGTCAGGGATTCGGGGCGAGTATCGCTTCTAGAGGATGCTGAAAGGTTTGAAATAAATTGCCTAAAAGTCTCCTCTTCACGAATAAACAAGCATGTTGTTCAGAGCCACATACATAGATACATACAGTGGTGATGCCCCCATGAATGCAAGGTGTGTTAACCTTTATGTAAGATTATCACAACAAACCAAAACAAATCAATGGTCTCATATCTGAACGTCTTTCACTGCTCTGAATCAAAATAAAACAAAAACGAACCGTTTTTGAGGAAGATAAAAATAAACCTTCACTATGAGCTAAATAAACCCTGCAGTAAAGTGAAACAGGCAAAATAAGACACACAAACAAATCAACAAAACAATAATTTCCTATATAAATGTCATTTAAAGGAACGTATTGTTGGTGTATTAACGGTTACAGCTTTTTGTTCCGACTCAATCAAAAAATAATAAATAAAAATTTTAGACATGTTGCTTTGTTTTAAAAACCTGATTTTAACGTTGACGGGTCGGCCTGCAGTGGGGTCAGCAGAGTGTTAGGGGTGGAGCACTGAGTTTGGTATGGATTAGAAAAACGTGTCAAATGCACAAAAATATTTAATTTAGTTCTGGTTTATTGGACAATATTTGTCCCAGAAGCAGAAACAGAAAAACAAACACCCTTGTTATTATGGAGGGTTTAAGTTGTTAGTTAGCTGCAAAGTAGATATAAAATAAAAAATTAATTTTGTGGGATTTTTATTTATTTATTTTAACCTCCAGTCTGAATAGTACACAGGATATTTGTCAAAAAATAGTTCGATGAACTCAAAAGGGTTTTTTATCCTTTAAAAAATCCTAAAAGGGGCAACTTTTCAAATCACAATTACATAATACAACTGCTTGCCATACATTTCCTCCACTGCAGCCGTCTGTGGTCACTGGTTTAAAACGTTTAATGCGACTGAACAATTTATTCTATATTTTATATACACGGCTTTAGATTTGTTTTATTTTTGCTTCTTTTCTGTTGGGGATGTAAACTAATTTAATTCAATAAAATATGCAGTGATTATCTGTGATGTCATCATCTAGTTCATGTAGCTTTTCAAAGTACCATTACACCCCTAACACAAATACATAATACAGCCCTGTACATACGTACTGAATATGTACCTGGTTCATACCAGGAACTGACTGGGTACTACTTAATAGTTACCAAGTACCTAAGAGGATGGAGCTGTATCAGGAAGTGACTTATGTTTTGTTTACATAAAACAAACCAAGATACATATAAAAAAAGTTCATATTTGAAGCAAAAATCATTGTATTAAACTTTTAAAACCTATGTCCTACTGATCCCTCAAAAGCAGCCGATTAAAACAAAATATAATCTGTATTTTAATACAATAATCCCTAATCATTGAATGTGTTATCCATTGATTTGTGGTGGTTTGGTCATAACCTGCCGCCTTTTTGCCAGAAAAGCCTGAAATAAAGACACACGGCTGCCTGCTGACTTTATTCCCCTTCTGTTTTTTTTTAAACAAAACATATACAATGATTAAAGCAAGAGAGTGACTCACTGATACCAATGGCTTTGAACAAAACTGTGCAATTAAATCAATATTAAAACACAACAGAAGCAACGCAAAGTAATCACTTCATGGACTCCGAAACAGATGGAACACGTCTCAGTTTAGCACGTTCCAAGTCTGAATGGAACATTTAGTTTTGTTTGAATTAAGTAAAAGCAGTGAGCTTTAATGTTTGGGAGTTCTTTCCACCAAATTCAACGTGGAAACAAATGGGAAAAACAGTCAAATGTCTTATTTATATGAGGATATCTTCAAGCTTATGATCAATTCTGATTTTACCAGGTGAAAAACGATGAGTCAGACAAAACGTATGGAAGTCTGAAGTAACAACATAGAAAAATAAAGAAGATAAAGCAGTTCCCTACCAGACCTACCGTACTCTCTACGCCCCCCAGCTAAGCTACGGGCGCCTAAAATACAGAAAAATAAAAATAAAAACCAATGAATCAACAAAAGAACAAAGAAATAAACGGTGACAGTAGAAAAGTAAGGCATACTGAGAGGGTTAAAGGTTCATGTGGTGTGAGAAAGAGTGTAGACTTTGGACACAAACCTTTGCTGCAAGGCAGTTTTATCTTTGAATGCACTGTAAAGCTATGACCCCTATTTTGGTAACCATAAACATAAACATCAGAAAAAAATGGAATCCATTGTTTTATATCAATTTATGAAAATACATAGGGCCAATAAAAGAAATAAATCACAGGGAACACCACAATAAATCATGTAAGACCAAAGAAAAAATAAAATAATAAAAAGATTCATACACTTTTCATCATTTTAACAGAATAAGTAAAAGACAAACAAAAAATAGGCGAAATAGTAGTTTCTAATCAGAAGCCTGATAAGAT